AGCTTTTATGTGACTTTCGTAACTCTGGTTTTGTATATATTTGGGCTTTGAGCTTAATTTTTGTTAGATACTGCTTTTTGTGGATGCTTAAGCTTGTGGCTCCTTGTTTTTAATTGCAAATGATTTTTGACCCTTTCAAATTTTTTTGCCACCTCTTGTATGTGTTGAATGTGGATGTTCTCTTGCAAATTTGAGTATCGGTTTTGATCAATATCGTGACTTAAATATTGCTCATAATCGAACAAAAATGAATGCGCAGCTATAAAGAGTCCAATTGAAGTTGCATAGACAATATGTAAACTCCTTACATCTCGTTGTGACTAGCTAAGTATCGAATTGAGTCTCTTGTGATGATCATTGCACACTAGCAAAAGTGTGGAGTCTTGTTTGACTTTGGTGACAATGCCTTGTGTGATGAGCTTACCCTAAATCATGTGTGATGACACCTAGAATTTGCCCCGTTGGTCCGGTTGACTAAGTGATGCAATTTCTTGAGATAATCTTAGGTAACTTTAAAGAGTGTGAACCAATTTAAAATTATACCTCTTTTGTGGCTTACCTTGTGAGTGTGTGAACTTCTTTTGAGCACCCTTTGAGCCTAAACCTTTTCTTGGAAGAAACTTGATAACTTTTCTACCTTTTATTGACCCATTACCCATAATCCTCATGATCTGTGATTTGTTTGAATAACCAACTTATGACAAATGCCTAAGTTGTGGGTGTGGTGAAAAGAGAAGGCAAATCAAGTAAATGCAAAGAAGTCCCTTGTGCCCATGTTTTGAGAAAAATGGAACCCCTCCATATAAAAAAGAAGAAGAAAAGTTTGAAAAAGAAAAAGAAAAAAAAGTTGTGAAATAAAAGTTGTGGAAATACAAAGAAAATGGGGTTCCTAATGACTCATGGAAGATGAATAAGATGTGACTTTTGAGCTTGAATAAAAATGATATAGAGAAGGAAAGAATGTGTTGTTCATATCATATTTCATGAAGATTTTCACCCTATAAGCCTAAATGATCATACCATTACACTCAGCCCCATTACAAGCCTTGAAAAGACCTTTTTGATCTTGAATGAGCTAAATCAAAAGTTGATTGGAAAATAAGGGCAAACCTGTGGGTGAAATCATGCATTGTGTTTATCTTTGTGAGTGTGAGTGTTGATCTTGATTCCGAAACTTTAATTGATTAAATCATTGCGTGTGAATATGGAATCATTCTTTATGTGAGGGCATTTGATCACTTTTGTTGAGCTTGAACTTGCATTTGAAGCAAGTATAGTGAGCTTGAGATTCTTTGGTAATGGTAAGTTGCAACTTGAATCATTTAGCGCACAATTGATCCTTGTACGAGTAAGTTGAGACTTTTTGTGTGCATTCATGATTGAGTCTTGTGTAGCACTGTTTGAGACATTCATTTTGAACTGCTGAACTTGAGTTTTACTTGAGGACAAGCAAAAGTTTAAGTTGGGGGTGTTGATGAGCCGACGATTTGGACTCTTTTAGGATTTTATTTTGATAGATTTAGTGTCCTCAAATGCATATTTTGTCTCAATAATTGCTGAAAATCCTTGAGTTTCAGGTATTTGGAGTTAGAGACTAAGCATGGACACTATTAGGCAGAAAGGAACAAGACAACTGAAGAGAACGAAGAATAGACAGCCTGAGGATCGCCTAAGCCATTAGGCGATTCGCCGAAGGGCTATAGTATCGCCTAATGTTCCAGTGTGCCAAGCTCTGAAGGAGAAAATGGAGTCGGCGAGATAAATGAGCAGTCGGCGAGTCGCCGAACGATTCCGCGATGCAGTACTCCATCGCCCAATGTTACAGAACTTGAAGTTGTTGAAGGACAATGTAGAAAGGCGATGAACCAAACCAAAGGGTAGATCTCCGAGTGGATCGGCGATCCCAACTAACTGCGTCGAGTGATCTTTCGTAGTACATTTTTTTGACAATTATAAATACCTGTTTAAATTTTTTGTTTAGTAATCAAGTTTTACCTTTCAGAATTTAGTTTTATAATTACTCAGTTTTAGAACTTAGTTTTTTTAGACAGTTTTCCTTATCTTTGAAGAGTTGAAGATTTCCATTTTCTAAACAATTAGAAGTGGGCATTGAAGATTCATCATCTTTGATGTGTGTAAAGACAATATTTATCATACCCATTTGAAGGAAACACTTTTCGATATTGATTTCTATCTCTTTACTATGTCTGGCTAAAACCCCAATTCTTGGGGTGTGATTATGTGATTATGAGTTGAATTTACTGCTGGGTATTGCTGATAGATAGTTATTTTGTTGTTTAAAGGTGATTTCGTTTAGTAGTTATGTTTGAATTTAATGGGGTTGTAGTTGCAAATACAATTTTATCTTCATGTTTTTGACTTGCTCGAGAGAAAGGTTGTAAAACCAAAACTATTGAATCGATAGTCTGTGGTTATTGGTTTGTCATAGGTTCAGCTTGAGAGAGTGAATCCTAAACCCTTTCCCACACATTCAGCTCGAGAGAGTGAATGGACTAAGGCGAAGGTTGCGCTTCATTGCCACTTATTGGTGTTCGAGAGAAACTGATTTGATTCGGGGTAAATTGTTCGAGAGAAAATTTACCCCCACTAAAGTCTAGCCTAGTTACCAATTTACAGTGATTTACTATAAATAGCATTTACCCGGTTGTTTATTTTGTCCCATATCCCTACCACATCCCACGAATCTCGTCTCCATAATTTCATTTTCGTTTTAGTTGTCATTTTAGTTGATAATTGCTTACAAAACCCCCTTTGATAATTGACACTTGTGTCACCCTTTAGTTTATCATGTTTTTCTTCGTAAATGTCTATAACTATGATTAACTTGAACACATTTTTGCTTTTTTTATTAATTCTCAATTACAAACCGCTCCCTGGAACTCGACCCCAACTCACTAGTTGAGTTATATTACTATTAAATGACCGTGGACGCATAGTATTGGATGGGGTAGTTGAAAAGCTACCATACCTTATTGACGATTTACCAATAATTTGAGGAGGAAAGCTTGATTCTTCAACCCTAGATTCACCTTTCTTCTTCTTCTTCTTCCTTGGAATTCTAGAGAGAGTTTATTTGGGGAAAAGTTGTTGGTATGGATTTAGGCTTTGGGATTTTATGAAGTGTATGACTTAGTTAATGACTTAAAAAGTCTTATATAGGTCTATTAAAACAATATAAAACGACCTCACATCAAACTAACTAAAAAGGAAATTACTTAAAAACCCCCAGCCTTGGTCGAATTTGGACAGTGTTGCAAGCATGACCCACAGACTGTGGGTGGGACCACGGCCCGTCCTGTAGGTTAGTGGCTCGTGGTCTGCAGTTTGTTGGTTGGGGGATTGAGCTACGAAGCTCACCCACGAGGCGTGGATGGACATACTCCCTGTAGGTTCCCATCTGTAGGTCACTTTTAGGGCATTTAGGGGTAGACTTTAGGGTCCTCCTCAAGGACCCTTGGTTGGTCCTTGGAGAGTTGTACCTTGACGTTACAGAGACTAAGAGATTGACACTCAAACTTATAAGGATTGAGCAGTCCTCTGTGAACAAAACGAGTAAAAAAATAACAACGAAAAATTTAGAGAGCGAGAAAGAGAGGGAGAGAGAGGGGGCATAGAGGAATAAATAAGAGAGTCAAATGAAAGAGTGAGATATTAGAAGACTTTTTCTTTATTTGCTATTAATACAACTTATAACAACATATATCAAAAGACTCGAAACATTGAGAGAAAAAAATCATGTCTAATATTTGGGCTCTTTGGAGGAGATTTCGAGTTGGTAGGGATTGGGAAAAAAAATTCAATATGCAATATATAAATATTGTATAACCAAATATATAAATATATATGTACATCTATGATATAGTTATACACAATTATACACAATTTATACAATATCAGTACATTACATATGCATACAATCATTTTTGTTGATTTTTTTATGAGTAAATTTTAGGTTTAGCAAACATAAAAATCATATTTGTATGTTATAGTTATAGATTGTATAGAGCATCAGATTTGTATAAATCGTAGGCAGACATTTTGTTTGTATAAAGCGCAACGATTGTATACGTATACCAGTCAGATAATTATATATTTGTATCAATGATTGTGTTTGTATATCTGCATAAAATTCTCTCTCTCTCTCTCTCTCTCTCTCTCTCTCTCTCGCTTTATACAACACAAATTATACATTGTAATTTGTATAATTTGTGTTTGTATAAAGCGAGAAAGAGAGAAAGGCAAAAGAGAACTGGTAGGGGAAGATCTGTATTTGTATAATTATAAGTATATAGGACGAAAATATATGTATTTGTATTTGTATATACAGTTCTCTCGCCTTATACAAACACAAACACAATTTATACATTTGTGTTTGTATAAAAGTGAGAGAGACGAGGGAGAGTGGCGAGTGAGATTTCTAGGGAGAGAGGCGAATGGCAAGTGTTTGCTATGGATTATAATTATATAAAACTGTGGTTATAACATTTAATTTGAACTAATAGTTTGCTATTTTATAAGAAAAAATCCCTTTTTTTTATTGCATATGTAGTTATGTAAGAAGCCCAAAAACATAATGGGTAGACTGATATTTTAAAAGGTACATGGCAATTTAGTAATTAAAAAAATAAGATTAATGAGTTTGTACGTTAGTAAATGGGAGTCTGGCAATCAAACAGGCAAATATGATCTGTTTGTTAAACTACAAACATATATGAGCACTTTTTCAACACGAAATATATCATATCTAAATTTTAAAAAATTGATATTTGCCCTTTTTTAAAAGAAAATAGTAGATGACTAGAAGATAATGATTTTGCCACAAGTGTTCTTAATCATATTGCTGATGCTTTACATGTTACTTGAAAAATTAATATATTTTTCAAGAACACACTTATTGGTTCAAAAATTGGAAAACAAAATAATTACCCAAGAAAAAAATAAATAATCACGCGTACATCAATTATAAAACAATCTTGTTACTAGAGACGTGCACGAAATGGCACACTGGTTGCTGGCAACCATGATCGACCAGCAATAAAATTTTCCACGCTGAAACTTGCTGCTTCATTTGAATTTGTGATCACTCGATACCCGCTCCACTTGACTCTACTACTAGTCGATGCTCCAGCACCAGTATTCCTGTATTCTCCGTAATACAACGTATCTAAAGCAAAATTACCATCCCATTCTAGCCAACCAGCAGGATCCACCAATGAATCAAGATATGTTTTCATAAAAACAGTACGTGAATATTGTTTCCATGGTCGTCCTAAATATGTCTTGAATGTACCTAGCACAGGCCTAAGGTCAGATGCAGCCATAACTCGCGAGTTATATATTGAAATTCCGGTGTTTTGGTTAGGATCAGTCCGGCCTTGTGCTGTTATGGTAATCTTTTGTTTATCCATAGGTCTCCTAGCGAAAATCATGCAATTTTGCAAAACCACTGCAGCGTTACCAAAAATAAAGTCTACTGTACCATAGATATAACATTCTTTATAAAACTGTCGTTGTGAATGGACATATAGAGTGTCTTGATACCCTTCAAATCCACAACGATAGAAAACTGATAGGTCAGATCCAGAACGTAGTGCAACTGCTTGATGGTTTTGTGGACCAGCTGTGTTGCGGAATGTAATGCCTTGAGCAATAAATCCTTCCCCAGTAACCACTGCAATTTTATAACAGGGTAAAATATTAACTATACACATTTGCAATATACAATAGTACTAATATACAATATAGCTTACCAACGGTGCCAGAGTTAAACGTGGTAGAGCCTCCTCCAACACTACGGCTACCCGTGATAATTGTGTACTTCATTCCATCGCCAACCAACATAATATTCTTCATTTTGTTTCCAATCTCCAAATTTTCTCTATAAACTCCGCGTTTCACATGTATAACAAATCTTTCATTTCCACTTCTTTTCGCGGCAGCATCTAAAGCTGCTTTAATAGTCAGAAAATTCCCTGTACCATCTTGAGCCACCACAAGATTTGAACTTATGGAGGATAATTGCAATAATTTTCTATCCCCCGGAGATACCCAAGTTGGGAAACTATCTTTATATGTTTGCTTCATATTGGAGCCAATATTGTTGAGTGACAAAGTGTTACATATTAATTCAGACACGTTGTTGGACATGAGACTAGGCAAAATGTAGTCTGACTTAACACCTAGCTCAATGAATCCAGTTTGACATGTTTCAAGATTTGTCATGGCTGTACTTAGCCATGTTTGTATATCAAAATCAGTACATTTAGTATTGGAATCGAGAGTTTTATTTAGTTGGAGAATTGTGCTCTCGTAGAGCTTCACACAATCAGACCAAGCTGCCCTTTCGAGTTCATTGCTACACTTCACACCTAGTCCTTTGGTGTAACTCTCAGCGTGAAGTGCTCTCTCCAAGGCTATTTTCACAGCCATTTTCTTGAAATCAATATTGTTTTTGGGTGCAAAATGGTACGAACCATGGTTCATGAAATATTTGCATTGATCGGGATAAGGGGTTTTCTTGCACCAAACGTTTATGCCACTATCAAAAATGTTACTCGATAAAATAGGAAAAAAGAATGATGAAAAGGAAATAAGTAGAACAAAGAAACTAAGCTTAATCGCCATTGATTAATTTCTTTGGTAAGCTTACAATTGTGATTGAGTTTTGGATGATTATAACTATGAAGATAACTAGTTTATATAGTTGCACAAGTAAGGTGACACAAGTGGTGATGAGCATGATTGAGAAGGACATAATTCACAAATTATAGCAAAGTCAAATGCTATGTTGTTAATTGTTATTATTACAATTGTACAAAGAATTTATTGACGAATGTTTTAAAAAATTATTCTTACAAAATTTAATCATATCTAATTCTAGGGAACCAATATTAAAATGATACAATGCCAATCCAAGTCATTCAAATGAAAGAATTAATTACTTGTCTGTCAAATAGTTGTACTACACGTCTATATGTATTATTCTATATCAAAAAATTATTCTAAAACAATATTCTTATATGATTTAGTTACGTGTTAATTAAACTTCTCTTATTTTTTCAAAATAAATATAAATGAGCTTGCAAGTAGTCCACGCAACAACGGTTAGCATGTTGCATGAACCTGTTCGAGTTACTCATTTGTTTGAAGTAAGAGCATCTTACTAAAATCATGTGTCACCAATGCAATATTATAAGAACTTTTTTCCTTAAATTTGTGTTCCGAAGATCGTTTAGTTAAATTAATAGATACCAAAAATAAATATGTATCAATCATTAATCAAACACACAGATAGATATATAGGTAGAAATACGTAGGCATACAAATAAGCATACATGTACTTTATGATTGTAGGCATTGCTCTGTGTATATACAATATACTCTCATACAGAGTATATATGAGTCCGGAGCTAAAAGGGCAAAAAAATTTATCAAAAATTTCAAAAGGACACATCATATTTTTTTTAAACCAAAAAGACAAAATCACTATTGCCGAAACGATTTCCCTCTGACACATATTGACATCGTTTACTCCGTTAAAAATAAAAATGCGATTTTGTCCAAAACTTTTTTTCTTTGTTCTCACTAAAATCGCTGGGACAACAACGATTATTTAAGTCCAATTTTTTTTCCACTAATATCGCTGCTATAGCAGCGTTTTCATAAAAAAAAATTAAAAAAAATCATGAAAATCGCTGCTTTGACAGCTTTGTTATATATAAAAAAATATTCTTTGAAATCGCTGTCATTCTTAATTTTTTTTTCTTTTTTAAATCGCTGCCTTGGCGGCTTTTTTATTAAAAAAAATTGTTTTGAAAATTGCTGCTATGGCAGCATTTTTCTTAAAAAGACCTTTCTTTCTTTTAAGGGAAATTTTTCAAAAGAACAATATTTTAGTTTTTAGTGGGACTCCTTAGGAACAGTTTCATTATTTATTAAAAATGTCATTATTTTAGTTTGTTAAGGGATTAGTTATGTATTTATTTTATTTTGATTAATTTGAAAGAATACAAATAATTAATAACAGAATAGAGAAAATCATGGAAAAAAAAATCAAAAAAGGTAAAAAAGATTTTAAATACAAATCAGTTACATTTTGAAAAGAGCATAAATAGTCATCTTTCCGTCGAGCGTTTTTTTGCTTTCTTCTTAAGAACATCAAAAAAAAATTAAAATAATTTAGTTTGTCTTCCGAATCATTCATCTGATAACTTTCAAAACTTCTTCAAGTTGAATACGACATATTTTTGAAACATAATTTTTCAAAATTGACAACTATAAATTTGTCGCATCCAGTGAACAATCGAAAAACAATCAGGTATTTTTTTCAATTTTTTTATTTGTTTGGATGAGATATTTGTATATGTCGCGTACAAGAGTGTTAATTTTTTTCCTGATTGAATCAGTGAAATCTTTGTATGCATTGAGATTTATAGCTTTTTTGGATGTTTTATATCCAAATTATGATGTATAACGAATGAAATTGTTTTTTTTTTTAGTTTAGTAGCTGCTTTTTTTCTGTTTGAATGCATACAATAATTTGTATCTCATTAAGTTAATGTAACTAATCGATCATGAACTATATGTTGAATACAACAATATATGAATACAAAAGTGAGATGAAAATACAAAGTTATAAATACAAAGTGAGATTGAATATAAAATTGTGAATACAAAAGAAATACTCTCTTCATTTGAGATACAAAGTGACCTTGAAAGGTAAAATACAAACTAATGGATCATGAATTATATGTTGAATACAACAATATATGAATACAAAAATGAGATGAAAATACAAAGTTATAAATACAAAGTGAGATTGAATATAAAGTTGTGAATACAAAAGAAATTAAATACTCTCTTCATTTGAAATACAAAGTGACTTTGAAAGGTAAAGTAGACACATAAAATACAAAACTTGTTGGTATACAATTAGGTTGAATACAAAACAAAAGAGAAATACAAACTTGTTCACATATAAATTAAGATTGAAATACAGAATGAATACCCAATAAAATATAAAATTGTTAGCATACAATTAGGATGAATACAAATTAAGAAGGAAATACAAACATGTTGGTATGCTAATTGAGATTGAAATACAATGCAGCCCTTGGGTAATACACAAATCAAATGAGGGAAATTCCCCAAAATTTTGAATATTATTTGGTATACCTCTAGTAATTTTGATTGAATCAGTCATTGTAGATAATCAGATGCTTTCCCCATAATCTAAAACCCTAAAAGCAAATTTCGATATCATTAAATTTTAAAATGTATTAAATATCAAACAAGACAAACATATATATGAATTTCTAGAATCTACAAAATTTGAAAAATTAAAAGAAAATCACAAAAAAAAATTGAAATTAATAAATATATGATGAATATTTAAACAAAATCACATAAAAATTAGAAAAATTTGACTACAAATCCGTAATGTATAGAATCAGTGATTTAAGCATCATATAAAAAAAATCAAAATTGATAATGGAAATTACCTTGCCAACCGAGAAATCTGCTTGAATTAATAAAGAGATTTCGTTTAACAATAAAGAAAATTTCTTGATGAACAACAATTTAGCACTTTGAAGAAAGATAAACTTGAAACGTGAAAGGTGGGGAAGAAACGTGAAAGTTGGGGAAGAAACGTGAATGATGATGAAAAAAGGTTAATGGTATTGGTTTAATTTATTTTTTTCACTTTAAACGGTTATTGATATATAATTTGGTCTAATATAGGACTCTTTCCATAAATAAAATTAATTTAAAATACTAAAATCTGAATACATATTATTTTATAAAAATATTATCATTCTTCCATTTTAAATAAATATTTTAAAGTGTTGTTATTTTGACTAATTATGTTAGGTATTATGACTTAATTGCTAATTTTCCCTTTTTTTAAATCACTGCATTGACAGTGTTTTTCTTAAAAAATGAATTAATTTTTTTTTGTTGAAAAAATCGCTGCCTGGGAGGAACCACAACCTCCTCCCAGGCAAATGATAATTTCTCCATTTTCCACAAAATCTCCTTTTTCAAAAAAAAAAAAAAAAAGGGAAAAAAATTAAGAAAAACGTTGCCAAGACAGCAAATTTAATTTAATTTTTTTTTATAGAAAAGCTGCCAAAGCAGCGATTTCATGATTTTTTTCTCTATGAAAACGCTACCATAGCAGTGATATTAGTTGGAAGAAAAAAATTGGAGTTAAATAATCGTTGTTGTGCCAGCGATTTTAGTGAAAAAAAAGTTTTGTATTTTTAACGGAGTAAGCGACATCAATATGTGTCAGAGGGAAATCGCTTCGGCAGTAGCGATTTTGCCCTTTTGGAATTGGGAAAATTACGTGTATAAGCAAACATATACTAGTTAATTACTTGACATAGCTATAGTTTGCCTTAATTACAATTTGCGACCTACTTTTAGCTATAATTACGCGGCTCAACTTTTCAGTTTTGTATAATTCGCACGTTTGTATAATTCGAAATTTGTATAATATAATTTGTATAACTTTTGTATAATTCAGATTTGTATAATATAATGTATATAATTGTTTACACTTCTGATACTTGTAATTATATATACACATTCGTTAATTCAAGTTTATAAAAAAATAACTGAATTATACAAATGTACCCGCAAATTATACAAACCTACAAATTATACAAATCAACGAATTATACAAACGAGACAGGTTAAACTGCAGCTACAGCCTGTAAATAGGGGTGTTCACGGGTCGGTTTTGATCAGTTATTGGTCAAAATTAAAACCAAACCAACTTAATCGGTTTTAAAATTATCAAAACTAAGCCAAATATAGTATATATTTATCGGTTTGGTTGTTATCGATTTTGGTTTGGTTTGGTTTGGTTATTCGGTTATTAACCATAGACAAAAATAAAAGAAACAGTTCATTCAAAACGTGAAAAAAAGTGACAACAATCCATTTAAAACGAAAATAGTTAGAATGACTGACATTATAGAACTTTCAATCATTGAATTTACTATGAATAAAGCTTCAAAATTCATTATTTTGGCCTAGAAGAAAGAGAAAGTGAAAGTTTCAATCTTATAAAGAATTGTCATAGACACACTCATATACATAAAACCAATAAGATAAATATTCTCACCTTGGGCATTTTTTCTTTGATAAGTAAATTATAAATAAATTTTGATGAAAATACATATAAGATCTTTAAAATTATTTATAAAAATAATATATTATGTATGTATATTAATAAAATATATGTATATAATTTGTCGGTTTGGTTCGGTTATTTCTTCATTTTTTTTCGAACAAAACCATAACCAACCCATATACTATTAGTTTTTAAAAATCTAAAACCAAATCACACCTAACCCAAATAAAAATCGATTTGGTTTAGTTTTTCGATTTGAATCGGTTTTTATCTGAACCGTGAACACCCCTACCTGTAAATATGCAAACTATATCTATGTAGTATAATTAAGTTTATTATAGTGGCTATTTGCGAAAGTTCCTCTTTGAAATTTTTGGCAATTGTTTTTGTCCTTTTAGCTTCAGACTACTCGAGTATATATATTTGTTTTAAAACTGAAATATAGATATCTAAATACATATATGTAGAGCTGTCAAAAAGAGCC